GGCAAGATACGATCAGTAGTGTACGGAGCATGTGCAAGAATACAGGATGTAGTATTCCCCTCCTCCATTGTGTTGGACAAGCCATGCGGTCAAGCAGGAAGTTAATTCTTATTTGTAATGATTGGTCAAGAGAATGTGCGGGTGGAGCTTAATATGGGAGGAGTTATGTGCCTATATAGGGAGCCTTCACTATTGTTCAGGGCTCAGAACTTGCTGTATTTTTGGTGACATTAGTCCCTCTGAGTCCCGATCGGTGATCCAATAAAGAATCTCTTCCTTCCTGAAAAAACCTGTGTCCATCCCTCTGTGCTTTGCTTCCGTCAGTTTCTCCGGTATCAGTTCTTGGGAAGGAAGGATTCTTATAACGCTACCGGGATTATTGTATGCTGTATTTATTTCCTTGGAATATTTTATGCTTGTGACAGAACCATCTGTCTGGTTATTGCTGGTGGATTCATCTGTTTTGCCCCGTTCGTGTAAATGTTCCTATAGTCCAGCCATACGAATGACCGTTTTTCCCGAACAAAACTACGGAACGGATGGCCACCCAGGAGAGAAGTGTGCTGCTGGTTAACCTATTGATCCCAATTAGAACGTTGTGGTTAACGGCAGACACTTCTCAATTAAACCGAATTCAGGGTGGTCGTCGTTCATATGTCGACCACGAGGCAGCGGCCATTTTAAAACACGCGAAAGCCCAGCGGTGTTCGGCTCTATTTTCATGGAACTAAAAACGGACACTTTTTCTGCCGAACACCGCTGAAACAACGGAACGCCTGGCTGCCTCCACGAAAGCATACGAATACCGGCCGTTCGGGAGTTTTGAAGCATACGAAAGGACTTAACCCAGATAGCCTTCCCATGGAGTCATTCGTATACCGAAAGACTGTAAGAACTTTGACTCCATGGCAATTGAACTATGTGTGTGGGATCTGAGCGCTATTCGCTAATAATATGCACTCAGATCCAGGCTATCTGGGGATATGTGATGTGAATGGGAAATGGTCGGTTTTTGTGAAGTTATGTATTTTTATGTCTTTTCTGATTTTATATTTAAAATGGTGACTGGCTTTGTCCTGGAGATAATTGAGTTACTTCTTAATTATCTCCAGGGCAGAGGGGAGGAAACCATATTGCATTGTGGGTAAAAGCTGTGACTGTGTGTCTGGAATGTCCCCATATCTGTCTGTCATTTCAGTCTCCCATTTGGTCCCCTAGGGGAGTGTCCACCAAGTGGGAGACCTGCATAAATACGGGCAGTTGGCCCACAGTAAAGCCAGATCCTGTTTTGACCCTCAATGCGGAGCTTCTGTCTCGTTATTGGGGGATTTCTTCTTTACGCTTAGAGACTGCTGGATGGAACCGAAAGCCGCTTGGTGGATGTTATTGTTCGGCGGCTAGCAGCAGTTTGTGGATTGCTGTTCAGGAGTTTGGAGCCGGTCACGGAGCTCGGTCGGGAGATTGCCGCTTCCCCTGAGCTTGGTTCGTGCACTACAGGTTATGCGAACGGAGATTATTGGTATTGCAGAAGAACCGACTAAACGGCGGTTTCATTTAAAGACACCGGGGGTGTCTTAACAATGCTGTTCCTGTTACCCAGCGGAGATACTGTGGATTATACTACCTCTCCGCTACAGAGACATTATACAACACTCCCGGCCAATATCAGCCAGACTGGCTCGACTCCTACAGCCTAGACTTGTACAGTCTGGGTACCTATTGGACACCTACTGGCTGGACGACACATATTCAGACTGTGCAATACAGATCCTGCCATGGTTTGATCCCTGTGTCAGACCGTTTCCTGTAGAGTTTATTCTGTTACTATTACTTGAAATTAACCCAAACCGCAACAAGTTTTGCGGTCCATAGAGTTTACATAGCCGGAGTTTGTGGCTCAGAGAACAATATAAAGTGTCCTCAGACTGTTTAAACTGGCCATACCTTAATAAAAAAACGTCCTCCTACCATGTAAATCCACCCCAGCACCAAATAAAATGTCTGTAACACTATGTAAAATGGCCAAAGATTGTTTAAACTGGCCAAAAATATTCAGGAAACTTCTCTGCAGAATCTCCCAAATAATGAAATGTACTGCTATAGGCTTTATACAGAGATCAATGCATATACAATCATTGTCTGTGTACATACTGCGCACTGCACTGCATATGCTGTCATTGTCTGTGTGTATACTGCGCACTGCACTGCAAATACTGCCATTGTCTGTGTGTATACTGCGCACTGCACTGGATATACTGCCATTGTCTGCATACTGCACACTGCACTGTATATACTGCCATTGCCTGCATATACTGCCATTGTCTGTATATACTGCACACTGCACTGCATATACTGTCATTGTCTGTGTATATACTGCGCACTGCATATACTGTCATTGTATGTATATATACTGGGCACTGCACTGCATATACTGTCATTGTCTGTATACTGCACACTGCACTGTATATACTGCCATTGCCTGCATATACTGCCATTGTCTGTATATACTGCACACTGCACTGCAAATACTGTCATTGTCTG